TTGAGAACTCCATATAAGAAACTGCAAAAAAATCACAATAGCTTGTAAGTTATAACTTATTAGTTTCTTGTAAACTCTTATAAGAACTGTATAAGCTTTAGAATACCACTATTTCACAAAAAGAAGTAGCTTTGGACCGATTGTTTCCCGTAAGAAGTAACTGAATTTCCAAAGATTTCCGATATTTCTTTCTTCGCAAACAAAGAATTTATTTTTTTCTTATCTGTTTTTGAAGTGTTTCTTTAGAAATCAGGGCTTAGACCAATTAATTCTTTTTGAAGAGATTGTTCTTGAAACTATTCGTTTATTTTCATTCCAAGAATAGAAGCTAGTTGCTTTGATACTTCTATGTGCTCATGGTTTTAATTATATTTTCTGTTTATGTTACGCATTTAGAAAATAATTCATAATACATTTTTTCTTAAAAAATTTAAGGAAGCTGTTAGATTTCTCTCTCAAAAGAATATGAATAAGAGTTCAGATTATTAAAATATACTAAACCTTTTTCAGTAATAATATATTTTTTAAAAATTTGTATGGTTACATCGGAAAAACTAGAGTTAATAATTGTAGAAATTTATATCTGTTTTTTTATACAAGTTTAGTTAATGCATGTAATATTATGTTTGTTATTAAAAATTAAATTGCTAATAAAAAAAACACCTGCACTTAATTTTAATTCTTAAAATAAATTCTGCTTGTATGTTAAGAGCGATGTAAATAGTAGAATGAAAAACTATACGCAAATATTTAATGGAAATAGAAAATCGAACTAAATTATAAATTTAGTTCGATGAGACGAGTAAAATGATGCATCATACGAGATATAGACAGGTAAAATGATGCATCATACGAGTTTTAATGATGCATCATTTAAACTCGTTCACGCTGCACTTTCACAAAAAGTGACATTTTTAAATCAAAATGCTCTTTACTGCTGTTTTCGGATGGGTTTTTATTGCAATAAGTTCAACAAATTTATAGGAGTGCCGTATACCGTTCTTCCAGATAAATCTTCAAATTTACGTTTTTATATGGATTTTTTAAATAATTTTTTTAAACCTAGAATCTTAATGAGATAAAGATTCTTGAAACAAAATTGAAGAAAAACAACAATAACGATAAAAGAGCTAAATTGGCGTAAAAAAGAGTTAAACAGGAAAAAAAAATGAATGAAATGAATTTCATTATAAATTTGAATTTGGTGTTTTTGAATTTGAATCTGCTAGTTCTATTTCATTAAAAAAATTGATTATGCAAGAATATTGAGCAAAGAGGGTATAGGTATTATATTTTTTATATCTTAGTTAAAAGGTGTTAAATTGAACAAGTCAAAATCGACATAGTTTGAATACGAAATTTTAACAAGTGACAACAGTGGCAGTTCGAATACGTAATTTGCACATTGGACAATAATAACAGTTTGATTAGGGTCGATGGAGATTTCGAAAAATTATATAGGGGTCGATGATCAAAAAAGTTTGGCGACCCCTGCTCTAGCCTAACAATCACCTACCTAAAACAGTTTCCAAACTATTCCACAAGAAGTATGAGCTGATCATTTAAAAACAGGTTCAGTTTTGCGAATTTAGTTTTAATATTCTTATATTTGAGAAATTAATATGTGGAGGAACGTTAATATATGGTAAGGTATATTCATTATTGTTGTTTTTCTAAGGCTTTGTTGTCGCATAAAATGATGCTGTTTTCATAACTGTTTTGAGCTTCTAGCAGTTACTCGTGACTGTTAGGTCTAGTTGAACCTATTTCTAGTCCTGCTAATTTTAAAAATGGCGCAAAGCGTGAACTTTTGTTCCTTACTGAAATAAGTTTTCGGAGTAAATGAAAAAGTTAACTGAAGTACTAATTTGTATTATTAATATATTTTCGTGAACATGTATGTCTTGTTTTGCGAAAATTAATTTGAAGAATGAAATAAGTTTTATTTTTTTAAACTAATTCTTCGGATCGTTGGACCCTTAAAGGGTCGAAAGTGGTTATTATTTAAAAAAAATTATATATTCAACAAAGCTAAAAATTCTTCATCATTGTTCCTGAGATATTTTTTTTTTATGTTTAAAGCTGCCATAAAATTTATGTTCTAATATTATATTCTTGAACTACTGAAGATGATTTAAAATAATTTGGCCAAAAACAAGATCTGAAAACTGTTCTAAGTTAACTATTATTTAGTTGATAGCATCATAATCACAGTATTTTCAATGTAATTATGAATTCCCATCCATTGCAAAAAATTTATCTTAAATGTGGGAGTTAAGAATTATAGTTTTATGTGGTGCGATTCAAACACAGCATAATAAAAGAAATGTGTTTTATTTAACTACCTGTTTAAGTTTAAGAACTAATAGAATTGATCAAATAAAATTTTTAAATGCGACATTATTTAGACTACAAACCTTACTTTATAAACATGCGAAGCTTTTTTAAAGAGTAATACAATGTACATCATAAATTTATAAACCTTAACTCTTTGGAGCAGAATTTATTTTAAACATATTTTAATACTTTTTTCATTATTCTGCATTAATTAAGGTTTAAATAAGTCGAAAACATTATATTTAGTAATTTAATAATCTAGAACATAGGTTCCCAAAGTGGTCCAATTTCTTTAATTTAAAAAAAATTCCATTGTTGATAAATTTTTGAAAATGAATGAAAAAAATTGTTTCAAGCTACTTTTTTCGAATTATATATTTTAGCACAAAGATAGCTCCGATAATCTTACAGATTTTTTTAATATAACTATTAGACTTTTTTCAGTTATTAAAAAGTACCAAAATATATATTTGCTTGTAATTAAAGTGTCAGAAAAAATATATATAAGGGACACCGGTGTCTCATCTTCGACAAAAGGTAAAGTTTCGGCCGTGGTAGACCAGTGGTTAAGAAATCGGACTGCGGTGTGGAGGAACAGGGATTCAATCCTTGACTCCTCTAAGATCCACCTAGTACGAGCGATATACATGCTCGTAAAATCTGTGGAATCGAAAGTCCTCAATAGTACCATGGGTACAGGAATCTAGGAAAAATTTCCATCCCCTTCAGATCTATTTATAAATTCAGGGTGTGGCCTCAAGAAAGAGTGATGTTGCCGTCGATCTGTGGAATTCTGAACCTAGATGTTCCTTTACCCTTGCGGTGCTCTCTTGACAAGAGCGAAAGGCGCTATGCTTTCTTACTTATTTTGCAAAATGGCTGGTAAGCTTATATTTTTTAGAGTAATGAAAAACAACAATTCATTAAGTTTTCTGATATGAACTGGGGATCAAAATCCTCTTAAATAAAATTTATTGAACTGAGAATAAAAAAAGCACAATTTTTATAACTAGTTTATTTTAGAATACTAAATTTTCCTAAAAAATAGAGTTTTTGCTTCAAATGAACTTTATTACCACAAACCATTTGCTTTATTATTATTTTATGCATTAGTCGCTTCCATCTCGTCAGCATTGCGGTTCCACGTCGAACTCTATCTTCACGAATTCACCTTTTCGCTACTCGACTTCTGCATTACTGATATACTTTATTTAACTAACCATTCTGCTCATAGAAAGCATTTACTCCCTCATTTGACATTGTATAAAAGAATATGTGTGAGAAAGTAAGAAGTCAAAAAGCCTTACTCAATGGTTAATCTGAATTGGTTTCATATGACGACTAGATTGGTGAAATTTATTTTTCCATGGAAAACTCACCAATCAGGTTTTCTTTTTCTCTCAACTGCAATCGAAGCTGCGGCAACCACACGCGGTAAATGCTCCTTTTTGGTGATTTTGCGTTAACTTTGCTGCTCAGCACTTACGTACATGATCTTGTCGGATGTAATGCGATTACAACCCAACGACGAAATGCAAAATCTCCCAAATACGAAAATTATTTCCACCAGTTTCCTTTCAGTTCTAGCTATTTTAATCTGGCAATCGATGAATAAAACAAAATGTGTCTTTGCTTTTTTCTTTCTTTTTCCCACCGAAGAAAACTCTTCCAATTTTTTCATTTTGCAATTTCTCTTTAGTAAAAGAATGAGTCCAAAAATGTCTAGCCAAACTTTATTACTTTTATTTACCAAAATTTAAACTTTAGAAAAAATCTAAAAAATATCATAAATTAAAAAAAAAAACACCATTAAAAGAACCTGTTTTGGTAAATGCTTTGCTTTAATTAATTTATATTCCTATCTGAATATCTTTCTTAAAAATTTAGCTTGTTATAATAAATTTTATTCTTATTGCAATGTGAAAAAAATCTCAAAACAGTTGCACCTCATTTGGAAGTGTAAGGAACTTTGTTTAAAAAAATATGACGTCAGATGCTAACAAACCAGTAGTTTCTGTTTGAACACTTTTATTGAAAATTGATTCAATAAATGGCAACGATGTTATACAAAGGGGATGGCAAAAATTTTAAGGGGGAAAAAGTGAAAGAACCGCTATTGTATTGTTTATTTTGTTTTTGTTTATTCTGATAAATATGTGACTGAAGAATTCAAGTTTTCTCAAGAAATTATCTATCAGTTGTAATCGTTAATCGACTCTTTTTAAACTTGTGATTCTTTCTCCTCTTGTTTTATAGCATTCTAAGCTCTAGTAATTAATTTGATAGATATGAGTAGTTTACCAATAATGCGGATGTTATTTTTTGTGATTGACTCAATTCTTGTTTTATTTGTTTGATCATGGCCTGTTGTGCTGTTCGTTGTATTTTAATTACAACATGTGTAATTCAATTGGTATGTGTTGTTAAAACTCATAAAAACTCCATTTTTAAACATTTTAGAAAGTAAATGTATTTGAATGCATTTAGAAATTTAACTTGAATAATATTTGTAATTGAAAATTTTGAGTTATCAATAGGAGTTTGTGTTTGATAAATTCTTTGTTTCATTTTTTTTTTGGTACTTCAAATATTTCAAAATAATTTACTTGTCAATTATTATATATAATTTTTGTATTATTTTTCGAAAATTTTGGGCTTTTTATGAGGTTTTATGTTTGATTAATTCTTAGTTTCATTTTCTTTGGTCTTCAAACATTTCAAAATAATTTTGTATTATTGTCTTCATTTATCATGTTTGTGTCATTATGACATGTTAATTTATTTTAAAATATTTACCAGTTATTGTTTCAGAGTTTATTATATTCTTAGCATTGTTTATAAATCAAGCGTTTCTAAAGAATTCTCTTTTGTTTAAAATGATTTAAAATTAAATATTTTAACTGAATGAATTATACTATTTTTCTTAGCATTGTTTGTAAATCAAGCGTTTATTAAAACTTTTCTCTTTCTAAAAGGATTTTAAATTAAATATTGTAGCTGAATGATTTGTTCTGTTTTTTCTTTATGTAAAATTTTAAAACAAAGGTTAAGTTATAATTCAAAGTATTATTACTTGATATAGCTTTTAGGTATGATCGTAGTACCATAGTTTTAAAGTTTCAAAATTTATGATGAAGAAAATTGCTACTAATTTTAGTTTAAAGTGCCACTAAGGAAAATAAAAGAATAAGGAAAACTGCATCATATTTATCCGGAGCAATTGAAATTGCTAAGGGGCTCATTTCCAGTGCCCAGATTTTGTACTTGCATTACGTTAAAAAAATATGCCTCGTAACTTGCCTTGAATTCACTGTGAATGCTTTGGTGCCTCTTCTATAATTGTTGTCATAAATAGGTACCAATATGAAAATATCTTATTAAAATTTGAATGATGATATGATTTCAAAATAAATAACTATTTTTTTATTTAAATTATTAAGAGGATAATACAGTTATTTTCTTCATAAATAATGCATATCAAAAATAATATTTCTTCTTTACAGGTATCTACAATTCAAAGACAAATTTTAGATTTCTTGGGTTATATGTGGACTCCCATCCTGGTTAATTTTTTTCAAATAATCTTTGCAATATTAGGAATATTTGGAGCTTACCAATATAAAATTAAGTACATAACATGTGTAAGTATTATTATTTTTCTCTTGGCTTGTTGCTAATTCAGGTTACGAGAAATGTTAATGACAAATCTTTGCAGGTTTATAACATAATTGAATATCTAAATAAAATTAATTTTGTGAACAATATAAAGTGCCATTTAGAAATATATCTTATTACCAAAGTCAGGGCTTTAGTTGTATTTGGAGGAAGGGTATACTTTCAACTGTCATACTTTTGCTTAAAATTGTAAGACTTTGCTAGGAATTAACTTTTCACACTCTTTTAAAATAAGCTTGGGGATATTTCCGTATCCTGATCTTTGGCAGAATAATCGCCAGGTCTTGGAAACTTCCGGGCAGCAGCCCGGGAAAAACTAAAAAAAAAATTCATAGAAGGGAACCAACTCAAACGGTACCACCAGTCAAACATCTACATGTTTTTTTTTTTTTTTAAAAAAAGTAGAAAATATTTTGCATTAAATTTTTTTTATTTTTTTTAATTCTTGTATTTACATGCACAGAGTTCTCCCTAGGAAAAAGAAAAGGGCACTTTGAGTTTCAAAAAAGCACTCACTTGCTACCAATAAAATTTATCCAAATATGTAAAATCATATAATAATTAAATTTGACCCTCAATTTTTAAATTACCCTCTTATACTATTTTATGTGTATGCTTCCCTAAGTAATTTTCACTCATTATCAAATTAACAGAAAAATTTAAAGCTTATGAAAAATAATTAAAGGCAAGCTAACAAATAATCTGTCTATTAATTTTCTTCAAAAAAAGTCAACTAAAACAAATTATTAATTGATAAGCAACATAAAAGTTTTTTATTTTAAACTGAAAATTATGAGAAAATAAACATTTAAAGGTACATTTTTAAATAAAAGGATATCTATTTATAAAATTAATGGTAAAATTTAATATCACTAAAAAATTCATTAATATAAAAAGGATAAAAAACCAGGGTTGGAGTTTTTGCCGGCAAAAAGGGGTTTTTGCCAGGACAGTGGCAAAAACCTGGTAAAAACCGGCAAAAACTGGTAAAAACCGGCAAAAACCAAATTATCTAAATTGCTGATTAAATAATTACAAAATACTTGAAACAAATTTAAATCAATCATAAGGAATAATAATTTTGATACATTACCTGAAAAAATTATTTTTAACATATTAATAATTAATATAAGGGTAATAATTTTTAAAAGATTGAAAGTTTTTGTCCTCTTTTCATTTTAGAATCCTTAAATTAATGTTTTTTTACAAATAAATAAATATTATTGTTTGTATATTATTATTATTTTTATTTATTATAAAAAATTATTATTTGTACAATAATTAACTACACATGTTGATAGATATTGTATGCTTTAAATTATATGTAGTTATATTAATTTAAAATAAGTTCATTTCACTGGAAAAAGAATAATCACAAATTTTCCAATCAATGTTATAAACTACTAAAATGATATATTATTACATTATAATTTAATTATGGATTAATAATTTTGTGAATTTTTTTGTATTTATTTATATTTATAGTATATATTTTAATTTTAGGAATAATTTTGTATCAAAAATGTGTTTTTGTCCTCTCATCTTGGAAAGTATAGGTTTTTGCCACTTTTTGCCAATTTGCTTGGCAAAAACCTGTTTTTGCCAGGACGGTTTTTACCGGTTTTTACCATGGTTTTTTCCACCTGCGGCAAAATCTTGCCAACCCTGTAAAAAACTGATAAAAACTTAACTAGTTGAAAACAATTCTAACAAAGTAAATATTTGTTATAATAACCAGAATTAATAATTTTTAATTTGATTAATTTTTATCTAAATTGTAAGTATTATCTAAACAGTGAATTAACTTTTTTTTTTAAATTGAAGTATGTAAACTAAAAATACCCATAGTTAACCTAGGAGTACAAAATTATATTTATTAGGAAAATAAGACTTAATCCATTTAAAATTAAAACATTCAAATAGATTTTAACATTTTGTGTCATGGTAAAATAAGAAAAGAGTTATTTTTTAAAAAGTAGGTAAATAGGAAAGGGTGAAAGGAAACTAAACTTTTTTGTACTATGTTAAATTTTATGTGATTAAATTTAACCTAATACTTATAACTTATTGCTAAATTGTACTGATCATTTTTTAGACTTAAAATACTTTCCATTCTTGAAAAGGAATATACTTTTTTCTAAAGAAATTCCATCTCTGGTTAATAATCTGGTCTTAAAGTACATTATCTTTGAAAAATTTTATCAAAATTTTCAAAAATAAATAAATAAATCTCACGTGACTATCTCTGGGGCTAAATATCATGTGAATTTTAAATATATAATTGGACAACATAAGAAAAATCTTACTAAAATGAAGGAATAAGATTGAAAATTTAAGTTAAGTGATCATGAATAACAAAATACATCTGAAGGGAACTTTTGGTTAAAACAGGTGGTTAGGAAAAAATTAAATAAAAAGGCAGTGTTTTTAAGGGATGGTAGCTTATTTTCACAAAAAGAGCAAGGAGGATATATTCATAGGGTTCAAACGGGGCAGACAAGGTGAGTTGCCCTTTTAAAAACCCTTAGGGAGAACACTGCATACAATCAATTACATGTAGATAATGCTTTATTTAAGCTTTTAAAGTTTAATTTGAAAATCAAGAGAATTTTTAATTGATTGAAATAACAGTATATTAAAGTGCATTTTTCATTGCATTTCTAGTATGCTGTCTGGACTTCACTGTGGCTAGGATGGAATGTATTTGTTATATGCGTCTATTTTGAAGCTGGCATTTTAACCAGGGTATGTTGAATTTAAATATTGCCCCTTTTCTTACTTGTATTGCATTTTTCAATATTTATATTTTAGTTGACATGTTTTTTTACCTATACAAAATGAGTCAGGTGATATATTTGGCTCGCTATTTCACAAGATAGTTAACTGTTTGACACAGAAGGGCAACTGGCATCATTTTTATATGTTTTATCTGCCGATTGAATTAAAAGCAAATTTGTATTTTTTATTTATTTTTATTATAAAACAGAGTATACTACTAGTTACTAATAAAAATGTGTTAAATTATAGAAATTTGTTATAAAATTAAAAAAAGTAGTTTGAAAGATTTTTTCCATCCATATTCAAAAATGTATCCATAATTGATTTTGAAAATTAAAAGAAATTTTAATGGTGAAATATATGAATGAGTGTAATGAAATATATGAATGAGTGTATATGAGTATGAAAAATATGTTTAATAAAAATTCTTTGTGAAAGGGTCAAAGTCAGTGCTTGTGTGAAAAATTTTAAAGGTTTGATTATTGAAGTTTAAATTTTGCCTTTGGATTTGTATTAAGTAATTAGTCACTAAAGTAATAAGGCTTATAAAAAAATGTTAGTACCTTTTTATGAACTTTTATAATGTACAGTTATTGAACTTCAAATTTTCGTTTTTGAATCTTTGTTGAGTTGTTAGTTCCTTAAGTAATATGGCCGAGAAAGAAAACAAGTCTGTATCTTTTTGAGAACTTTTAAAATAATGCAACTATTGAACTTTTAAGTTTTGTGCATTAATACACTATGAAACATTTTTAATGTATTAGAATGAATTAGTTTTTCCCTATCACAGTTTTCTTTGAATGACAACCTTACATTCTACTAAGTACTATTTCAAAATAGGAATATCAACTGCAGAAGTATAATTTAAATATTTACAGTATTCACAGGAATGCCAAAAATAATTGCATATTACTAAATTAATCCAGAAAAAAGTTGAGGTTTCCATATTTTGCAATCAGTTAATTGAAAATGTTTTTACCATTTATTTTAATTACAGTTACCTTTTATGATAATTATTTTTTTTAAGCAAACACTTTTTTGTTATAAATTTTGATACATGTTAATGCCAATTTCTTTTCTTAGAAAAAACATACTTTTATTTGTGATTTTTGTTTTATGTTTTGTATGTGTTTACAAAAGTTAGTAATATCTCAATATGTGATCTGCCTGTGTAATCAATGTTTGTTTATTTTTTAAAAGTTGAGTTTTTAGCTTTATTCTTTTAGTATGCGTAATATATATTTGCTAGGTATACCTTACACAGATGTTTTTACAGTTAAATGCTACTGCTCGGCTAAATGCTACTCCCACAGCATACACTACACTGATTTTTTTTAAAAAATTTTTTAGGATAAGTGCCACTGTTAAATATATCCTGCACTAATATCTTTTTAAGTTTATGTACCACTGCCTGGTATACTCTACCATACTTTACTGTAATAACGCCATCTACTTATCTGTAAAGTAACTACATAGGTAGTTCGCATATTGAGACAGTACCTGAAATTTTATTAAGAATGCTTAATGATACTTTTAACTTTTTTGAAGTTAATTTAACAGACCTTAGCTAGGTTCAACAGCATGTTTCAAAACTACTGATTTCTTGAATAACTTGAACAGTATACTGCCAATAGTTTGGTTACTAAAGAATTCCTTGTAAAAAATTTTATGCTAATTATGTTTCTATGAAGATTTCACAATTATGTACAAATTTTTGTATAAAATTTCCCCCATATTTTCTTATTAAAATATTTAGGTATCTAGTGCACTCTGAATAAAATATTGGTTATAGGGTATGAATTCCATGGCAAAATCATGACAATGCGGCGACATTGTCACAGAACATTAGGGAGCTTCTGCAGAATGATTTTTTATTTGAAAAGCAAAAAGTTTTTTTTTTTTTATCTGCATAAATTTTTGAAATTTTTTTTTTTCTTCTTCAAAACTTTTTTTTCCCCTTTCTGCAGAATTATATCAAAAAATGTCTTTCTCGCACATAAGAAGTGAAAAAGAAACTCTCTTAATTTTTTTCCCCCTTTATTCTTTTGAGAATAAAAAAATTCCGCAAAGATTGACTTTAGCTAGAGTATCAGATTGATATTATAAAAAATAATTTTCCAAATAGCAAAAATTTAAAAAAAGTTTAACTATACAAATATTTTTTAGAACAAGAATATCACCAATAATATTAGAATATGTATTCTTTTATATTTAAATTTTAAAAAAATTCTTACATTTATGATTAAAAAATATATATACTGTTCTGTTCTCTTCACAAAGGCTTTTTTTTTGTAATCACAAAGCGCTTTTGTTACTTTAAAATACTAAAACCTATATATATTTGTATTAAAAATGTCTCTCAGAAAGGTACTAGTAATCGAGAGAATTGTCTCAGAAAGCTCAAAAAAAAATTTCACAAGGGGTGTGAACAAGTAATATAAGTAAAATGGAGTATTTAGATTACTTAATATCATCTTTCTTTCAGGATACAGAAGTGTTGAATATGGGCACTGGAAGTCGTAGCTGGTGGCTAGTAAATGGAGCTGGCTGTAGACCAATTTACAATACATCACACGAAGATCCATTCTATTTTCCAACTCCGTCCTCCGTTGAAGGATGTGTTATAGAATATTTTTATATTGAAGCCATTCAGGCTGCTGTCCAGTGTTTCTTGGCAGTATGTATCTAACTTGTTTTTTTAATAGGCTTGGCAGTAATAAATTAAGTTGTATTTTTAACATTTAATATCAACATAGCAAAGCACTTTGAAGACTTAATTTTCCCAAAAGTTGCAACATAATGTGTTGTCTTTAAAATGTTATTTTTTATATATTGAAGCAGGTCTCTTGATGTAAAATATTTATGATTTCTCAGTGGAGTGAAAAAGTTACAAATGTGGTAATTATTAGAGTTCCCGCCAGTATGGTGAAAATTATCACCAAATGTTTAGCAAATCGCGCTAAAATCATAGGAATGGGTGACAAATATATTTAGAATTTGCAAATCTGTAATTTTTTTTATCTAATTCCATGCATGTAAAAAAAAAATTTGTACCAGTTTTATTGTTCTAGGCATTATATGGAATTCAAATGCGTTGTATTGAAATGCAATAAATTAAAGTGTCTGGTACAAGGATTTATAAATTTAATGTTAAAATTTCAAATTTTTATGTTGTGCCGTGCTTTGCATTATGTACTGACAGTATAATTGTTCATCAATAAAATAATGTAATTTTCTCTATTAGTAGTGGTTTTAATTAATAATTTTTGGATAACTAAATTTTAATATAATATTTATTCAGTTTTTACTTTCTCATTTATTAATTTATTTCGTCTCATCATTTTAATCTCTTTATTAGATCTATTTAATAACATTATTTTAGCTTTTTTTCACTTAATTTTGAAATATACTAATCTTCAATCATTATGGGGTAATGAACCTAATAATGTGTTATTGATGGTAATTATTAGTTTTTCATTTCTACCATAACATGAATTACATAATTGTCAAGTTCAATTTTTTTTCTCGAGTTTATCTATCATGGTAAGATTTTGGATCACTAAATAAATAGGTGGTCCTATTAGACCACTAATTTTCATTGCAGGTGTGATCCTTAGTAATCATGTAAAAATATTTAAAATGAAAAGTTTATAATTTTGTGTTTTATTTTTATTATCTCTAATTTAACAAATATTTAAGCGAAAAGTTCATTGATATTTCACCAGTTCAGTATACAGTTATATATACAGTTTAGAAAAAATGGTTGTTTGCAAAGACATTAAACGCTACAACTATCAAGTACTTACTGCCTTCATATTTTATTTCAAATACTTTAATTTACTTTTGACTTTGATAAAACATTTTAAGAGATTTTTAAAATATTGATGTATTGTTTGATTAGTTGAACTTAAAATTAAAAATTAAATATCATATAAAAATTTATGATTGTCTTAGTAACTTTCAATATTACATGGAATGCCAATGATTAAATTTGTGTACATTTCAATTTCATCATTGAAACTTAATACTTCTGATTAGGTATGCTGCCACTACTAAAATAAATTTAAAATGATAGTTAAACTGTTGCATCAACCTTTATTCTTCATTGAATCTTAATAGAACATATTAGAAAATAGCTTATTCGCTCTCCAAAAGCTTCATTTTGATTTCATAAAACAGTGCTAATCATTTTATTAAATGATGGTTTTAACATGTTTTATTATTGTAATTATTCTGTTCTTGCAGATTTGATTTTAAAAAGCAACTGGTTTTATAATCCAGTGATTTAAGTATTGGCAATAACAGTATTTTTATTTATTTAATTATTTTTTTACGCATTTGAAGCTTATTTTATTTGTTATCTCGTCAGTGAATGGAAATTAAATTGCTTAAATTAAACATAATAACATTTGATATTATGTTTAATTTAAGCAATTTAATTTCCACTCACTGAATTTAATTTCCATTGCTTAAATTAAACATAATAACATGAACATAAATACATTTTATGCATAAAAATTATATTCGATGATTGAACCGAACAGACACTTAATTATCTTGTATAAAAAATATTATTTTATATTTAATTCAAGACTATTGAGGATTGATAATGAAGCTTGAATTGAAATAAATTTTGTGACTGAAGATTTTCTTATCTTTCCAGATTCTTGGTATAATATCTGCCTCCTTTACAATTTATGTTTTTACTAGAGATGATGATTCTTGTAAGTATATACCTTGCAAATATTTTTTCTTTCTTTTATGAGTGCTTTGAGTAGATGTTAAAACATATTATTAGCAGAAAACTTTCCAACCACCTTTTTTGACATACTTTCTGGCTTTTTATATCAATAATTTCTGATATAAATTTTAAATTGAGTTTAATTACATTTTTCTTAAGAGTTTTGGTCTTAGAATCTCTGGTCTTAGTTATTCTCTGGTCTTTGGTTTGTCCTCAAACCATTTATTTAACAGTCTTCTGTTAGCTAATCTATCTTATGTCTACAATCCATCTTAATCTATTACTATAAATGACTTATGATAAATCTTTTTTCTTAAATATGCAACAATAAAAAAAATTGAGTTTTATTTGATTTGATTCTTAATCTTCATATCATGGTCATAATAATTAATTAATTTTTCATATCGAAGAATAAACTCATGAACTTGACTTTTCTTGTAATGATAATTTAAATCCATAAAATTTTGGCTAGGGAAATTTTCTTTGCATTATGATTCAACTAATTTCCTAGACAGCATGAAAATGGCAATCTGGATTAAGTTTGTACTGTATGATGACCAATTGTTTTTCAGTTTTATTTCGAGATTATTATTATTTTTTTTAATCGTTGATTCTTTCTTCAATTTATGTTGAATCACAGTCAAGTGAAGACAAAATAAAATCTAACTGCTCAATTGGATGCACTTTTTTTTAGCTGAAGTTATTTAAATTTCCTTTAAGAATATTTTTCTTTTCTTTTCTGGAGTGTTATATAAAATTAGAGTTCTCCCACCAACAATTGAAAATTTAGTGGTCTAATAGGATCATCTGGTCATTTAGTGAACCAAAAACTTAATATGGTAGATAAACTTAAAAAAATTCCAAACTTTACAATTACATAATTTATGTTATGGCACATATAAAAAAGTATTAATTGCCATCTTAAACACCTTAATTAAGCTCATTACTCCATAATGATTGAAAATGAGTATTTATTTAAATTAAGTGAAAAAAAGTTAGAATTATATTAGTAAATGAATTCAAAATTCAGATTAAAATGTGTAGATGAAATAAATGAGAAAGTAAGAAGTAAAAAAATACTATGTTAAAAATTAATTATCTAAAACTTATAAAATTCTAAATAACGCCAATTCTTGAATAGTAACAAATTGAAATTTAAACATTTTTGTACTACTAGACACTTTTCTTTATTCCATTTCAATGCAACACGTTTGAATTCCATATCACAGTTAGAACACTAAAATTAGTACAACATATATATTTTTTAAAGGCGTGGAATGCAACACAAAAAACTATTTTACATTACTGTTTTGTTAATTCCAAACAGATTTCAAGATGACAAATTTTTCATCATAGTGGCGTTATTCCTATATACAATTATTGTGGTATATGAATAAATTGGTATAAATATAATGTCTTAAATAATTAACTATGAGCTACAATTTTATCATTTAATTCAGTTATTTACCTGTTCTTAAACTAATTAGTTAAACTAGTCTTCAGTTCTACTTATTTTGAAGTGGTGAAACATTTATTTGTAGAACAAAGGGTTGCATTAATGTTCTACATTTAAATGTATCAGGTTGATGCAGAAGAAGTAAAGATTCAATAATAGTTAGATAATTTTCTTATTCTTAATTGAGGTTCCAAACAAAAATAAATCATAGATTTTTTTTTTTCGTGCTTTAATGTTATTCTGCATATAAAGACACAATATTCACTTAGATTCTTGAACTATTGAGGAAATATTTTGTTAGTTTGGTTTGTGTCATAAGAAAAAAAAATTTTTTTTTTTAAATTCCTAACACTTTCTAAAGCTGAATGTTTAGCATCTTGAATTTGGTTACTTGAATATATGTGTATATATATATATATATATATTAAATTTTTTGGGGGGGAAAATATGCTTTTGAAATTTCTAACATAAAGCTAAATATTTTGTAAATTGAATTTGTTTTCTGAGAGAAACATCAATCTAAGGTTTCAAAAACATTCTAGAGGTGAATATTTGGTTCCATGAATTTTTTTTTTTTCCTAAGAAAACATTGAATGCTGCCTATAAAGCTGTGAAAATTTATGGTCATCGTAAAGTACACCTTAGCCATGCATGTGGCTGCAATTTAACGCACAACTCTCTTTCTTTCAGTTGATTTTATTGGTGGCTTTGAATCACTCTCCACTTACCATTCACCGGCAAAGGCCTCACAAATGTGTCTGCAACCTATGTATGTAACTTTTGCACCTTAACACCAAACATGTGATGATCCTTAAACTTAAATCCCAATTTAACATGTCATCCAACTCAAAATAAATCAACTCCCACAGCTAAACCAAAATTCAATTTGGCAAGAGCGAAATTTTTTTTGGCAATTTAAAGTAAAACAAAAATTATTAAATCCCTTAATATTTAGATGTCAGCTAAAAGAAGTTCACTGATTTGACACCAAGGTTCTGTCAATCTCTAATCATATGCCATTTCATTTTATAATTATGTTTATGATAAAGAGAAGATCTCTATCAACATACTATTGATATGAGTTTTTTTTTTTTCTTCACTTTTTCAAATTTTTAAGGATTAACTGCTATTTAATTTGAATGACTGAATCTTTTGCTATTTGGCTTTCAGTAATATTGAAATAAGTGAAGTTTAAATGTATCTAACTTTCGAAATTTAGCTTTAAATAAAAAAATAATTAGCTGTGCTAAAGAAATAAAACTGAGTGTTTATATAGGTTTTAAAACAATTATAAAATAATTGCATAATTTCTCTGGATCAAAATAATATATTTAACTAAAATTCTTCTTTTTCTGGAATGAGAAATGTATACTTAATCATGTTATTCAAAATACCTACCAAATAGATATACTCCAGAAATTTTCAGTGATTCTTTAAAAATATGTGTACTGAGAGTTATAAATAATAGGTAAATAAATTCAAGTTAAGTTAGCCACAACTGTTTCTTTGAAATAGAGACTTTTTAAGTGTCAAATGAAATTGGCACATGTTATTCGCATTATTCCTTAAAGTCATTAATTAAAATATTGCTCGAGTCTATGTTCTTTTGAAGAAAACCAATCCTTGTTTTATAAGTTGCAGACATGAAAAAAATTGGGATGGTTTAGGAATCACACTTTTCATGAAATACTAATATTTATATTTTCTTTACTTAATAACACTTACTCATAAACTAATTTTATTAATAATGCACAATATCCACAGTTTAGCATGCTTTTTCTAAAACGAATTGTCTTTTCATGTAATTTGACAAATTTTAATCTGTATTTAGTTTGTAGAAAAGAAAAAAAAATTTTTAAATTTATACAAAGCATGCAAAAAATAAATTATATATCTTATAGTTTTTTTCATTTAAAGAAATTTTAAATGGTATTTTCTTAATGTTATATTACTGTGGTGCATGAACTAAGTTTTAAATACGAGTGGTATATTGAATGTTGATAGCCTGCAACTTCATCTTAGACCTTTGCATTTTCTTAAGGTCGACCTATGTTTTTTCTATCTCATTTGCATGTCTATTGCACTTTCTCTGCTTTTTAACTTTGTTATTGTCTTGGTTAAGCTCTCTGGCAATTCCTTGGTTTGAATTCATTGTGTTTATGCTTGCTTATCTCTTTTCTGCTTTGTATTGTTTTATTTTTTCTTCTATTTTGAATTTTAAGCATTTAACAGCTTTATAACTGCAGTAAAGACGTTATTTTTTTCCATTAAATTCCAATTTACTTTTATTTTAGACTTTACTTCCATTCTCATTTTACGAAATGAAAACTGGTCATGTGTGGTAATGTTAGAAATATATAACTGGTCATATGTGGTAACGTGGCAGCACTCACGTTACCACATATGACCATCTAGGGTTATTGAAGTAGATAATAAGAGTACTTTTTAGATTTTGTTTTGTGTACGCGCATTTAAAGACAGTGTAAAGTTGTACCAAAGATGAATGCATCCAGTACAAAACAAATATCAGCAGTGCAATTTTTACAAGTTATTTCTGGTACTACTGCATAATAAGATACAGACGTAGAACTAAAGAAAATTTATTTGTTGGTTCAAAGAACCTACAACTAAAAGATATTACTAGTCCGTGCACTTTTTCACTGATGATGCATGTCTATTATTTTTTTGAAAAAAAGGTATTAAAGTTAATTTAATTAAGAAAAATTACAATGCAAAGAATGTTTAATGGTCACAATTGTGATGAAATATGCTGTTTTGTGACAAAAACACTGACCAAAACATGAAACCAAAAAAAGAAGAAAATACTGATAATTATATTAGGGGGATCTAAATTGAATTTTTATTGTCTCAAACTGGTCACCACTAATTTTGAGCTTTGTAAAAAAGGTTTGAACAAATGCTATAACAATTATTTTTAAAGACTGAACTGCCAATATTGGATCTGTCAAAACAATGGCAAGCAATCTCTGATTCTCAAGGAATCCATTGCTATTATGGATTAAAAATGAGATGTTATTGGACATGACTTGAGATGAGTGACATCATTACTGTGCATCACCCTCTTCTGAAAAATAACAACAACAACAAAAAAAAACAGTGCAATCACTTTCTGGCTCATACTATACTTCCTTCCACCTTAATTTAGTGGCGTTGCAAAAAGCACAGGGACCTGATCACAGCAGGTGTTATGAAAACTGTCATGTGGTATGCCTATTTTATAGTCTGTTCAGCCAAAGTGAAAATTGTCAATAATGTTGTTTTATCTTTATGTGTTTGGATTACTTAGAAGACATTAAAAACATTTTGTGCAGAAGAGCTTCTGACATAATATTTCCTTAATCCCTTTCTCCTTGCTCCCGTGAAAATGTCGGGGTGAGGTTTCACCCTCTATTTCTCGCTCCCGTGAAATTTCCGGACTGTATTGTTCTGTAGTAACGCTCCAATAAGTATAAAACTAATTCATTTCTTTTGCACGGAAAACATTTTATTTCTCAATTTACACACCAGATGGCAGTGTAGTAAGGTAATTGAGATAATTTATTTTAAACTAGCACTAATCAAATACGTTTTGGCATAATCGGCACTTTTATGACTGTTTTCTTTTAAATTAACAGATTGTCAAGGGGTTAACAAAATTCTTACATTTTGTGACATCCATTTACAACGTTTTATGCATTTAGTTATTTTGTGTTTAATTCGAAAATAATCTAGAACTATTTTTCCAGTTACACTTGCAGCCTAGTTAAAATAGGGGAAAAAATAATTTCCCTCTATATTGTATTATTCTGAATGCATCTATCTTAACATTCAATTTACATGTTCTAACAAGAACTGATTAATCAGTTATATGCAATTTGTTGTGCACTGTTTCAATCTACCATAGCTGTTGTATTTATCCGCAGTATAAATGTTATGAATTTTGTCACCGATCTAAAAAAATTTAAAATCAATTAATTACTCAATATGACATATAATTTTTAGATTTTTAAAAATTTATTACTGTGTCAATATTACATGCAATTACCACTAATTGAACATTATAATTAAAAGTAACAAACAAAACATTATTCAAGTGAAATTAGATGTAGAATTTCTGAAATATATAGTCACCTCAGTTATGATGAAGTGTGCCATTTTGTGACTAGTTGATCTGAAGGACCAGAGCACAATTTTCCAAGCCAGCAGCGTTTAAAGACCCCTGTTTTAAAAATTTTTAAATAACAAAAAAAAACTTGATTCTTGACATTGTTTTAGTTCAGGTAACTAATTTTAAAAGAAATAAAAGTTTGTATTATAATTGGGACCAAATACAGCTAAGACTGAAGTCTTCAAAGAAGAGAGTGAGTCATTAAAGTCCACTGGATTGTATATTAGCAAACAGGACTCCTGTTGTGGTCCAAAGCAGACTTGGGTGGTCTCAGGTCAATGGACATAGTAAAATATGATTCCTTATTTATGATACTGTCTCACTTTGCCATCTTTCATTTAGAGAACTCTTATATTTGATGAAATTAGTTAATTTGATGATAAATTAATTTAATGAAATTAAATTTTCCAGTAAATCATTATCGTTGGCCAGACAGCCCAATGTGGGCCAATGCCTTCCAGTGAAACCATATATAAAAAACATCAGCATTTCTATATTTATCTTTTAATTATTTCTATAAAGTAATTTCTATGCTTTATTTGAAGGTTCAGTGAAACAGATTAGAAACCTTCCCTACAGCATTGAATATCACAATGACACATCAGCTCCTGACATCAATTCTAGCAACTGCCAACGTCCTATGACACCCAGAAAAGTGAAGCAGCGCTCAACACGCTCAAAACGGGGCTCTAGAAGGCGATACTATCAGAACCCCGTCACTAAGCTCATCAATGCTTCCAACAACCAGAATAATTATAATGCAGATTATTACCCTGCACACGTGAACACTGCCTTTTCAATGTCACAACCGCCTTCGGAAGCTGGTTCACGGCCAACTTCTGCCCTTTACCTAAATGGCAGGCCTAGTCCAATCTACATGAACGAAACAGATACTGTTATTTAGGGAAAATCTACCACTTAGGGAAAAAATTTATTTATTGCTCAGGGAAATTTATTTCCATTGAACCTAGATGTTGTGCCATTTGTTGCTGTGTTGAGTCTTATATACAGGTGTTCAAAGTAGTTATTGCTGGGAGCTCAGTTGATATGAACAAATCACCATTGTGCCATTGCCTGTAAACTGTTTAGTGCTGTTATGGTTTTGCAAAATGTTTTTGTCAAAAGTAGGTATTTTTACACATAAGGTGTAATTCATGAATCTAAAATCTCTTTAGAAATCCAAAATTGATAAATTTGTTGAATTTTATTTCTAATACCCGAAGTTTTATTTTCAACTTTTAAACATAGTAATGTTTTCATACACACTACAATGTAAAATTTTATTATTCCTTTAAAGAAAGCGAAAATTTGATAAATTTGTTGGATTTTATGTCTAACACCCTTATTAAATCATAAATACTAAAGTGCATACAATTGCGTTATTAAGTATTTGTGTTTAAAAGTTATTTTAAAGTTTTTTTCATCTGTTCTATAAATATATTGCCATTATATTTCTAGAACAAATCAAAACGCTTTAAAATAGGGTTTACATTATAAAAATCTTCTTGTGCATTATGCAAAGTATCAACAGATAGTGATTAGTACTAACTTTTTAAATAATTACCTTGGAAAAATAAAAACTTATCCATAGTTTGAATGATTGTAAAATAATTTTAAATTTTGCAATAAATTTTATCGGTAATCAGATTTGCTCAGATGCTTTCCTGAGTTATAATTAATTAATTTAAGCGCAAGGGATCATATAACAAACAAAATTTTCAAACTGTTAAAGAAAATATTTTTATAAAAAATAAAATAAGGATTTTTATGTAGAAGAGAAGATGTTTCTGTGTAATATCTCGGTATCTTGGGTAAATTCTGAAATATTATGAAATACCTATCTCTGTACAAACTAAGAAACAATTTGGCCTTAGCACTATATTGCCCTAAGCCCTTCAATTAAATAATGTTGTTAGAGAACAATTAGTTAAAACTTTAAAAAAAAGAATTTAAAAATTGCTCAAATAGTCTTTGTCCTCATTAAATAAACATGTAAGTATGTAAAATTATAAATATTAATTATAAAAAATCCAAAAAACAGTATTTTAATGAAAATTGCATTAATTTTGAATCTAGAGAAATTTATATTCACAAAAGAAAGTTTATATAAATTTATTATTGAAAACAAAGGCATAATGTGTTGTAAATGAAATATTTTGTAATAAAAAGTAAAATGAATTTACTGTCTCAGAATCACTAGATAAAATTGAATAATGGAATTTTTATTTTATTTATTTGTCACCTTAACTACTTTGAGATTGTTGTAGTAAATGGGACTTGTAATCGAAATAGATATTTTATCTTAGTATTGTGATTCTTCTATATTGTTAGACCTTAGGTCTAACATTTAGAATTAAATTTACTGAAATGCAAGCATTTTACTTGTTGCACAAATAGCTTTGCTCAATACACATTTTTATCATCAGCAAAATGTCATGTGTTTTTTATAATAAGCACATATCATATTATGACTAACAATATGGAAAATGAAATTATACCTATTTTTGGTTCATTTTTCTTGAAGTTGCATAAATACATTGATTTTATTACACTATTTTTATTAACAGTTGTACTTTATGATTGGAATATATATATTTATATGTATTCTGGTGTGATTATATATTTATTTTCATCCTTTTAGTGCACAGTTTCTATATATATGTTTGTTCTGTAGATAATTTTTATTTTTTAGAAAAATATTTCTATTTTTATTAAATTTTAAAATAAAGTCTGATGCAGAAGTTTTTTATGTTTGAACATGCTTAAACTCTGATTCCATCCAATTATGATGCATTTATATTACAAAACAATATATCTTTATTCTTTTGTATAATTTATAATCTTGTTAATGCATTTAAAACAAGTGTTAATAGATTGCTGTCATTCCTATGTAAATGACTACTTGTAGAAGTCCAAAAATTAACAGACTAGTTATTTAAATATTTTTAAAAATTCAGAAAGTAAATCCATACGAAATGTTAGTTCAGTCACACCCACTATAGTGAACCGTCTGCGGATTCAGAAATAAGTACACTGTAAATAGTGGTTCACTATATATTAAAATTTTTTGAAAAAATATTTTTTAGCATATTGAATATTGTTGCAATCGCAAAAACACATAAATTGTTCCCAAACGTAATCTCTACAACTTAGTTTCATTCAAGCAAATTTCTTTCTTTAATGAAATTTTTAATCAGACCAGTAAAATAACATTTAAAGTAATCTCGATGTAAGGTTGTCTACCCATAACAAATTTTCTAGGCATTTTATTTTTAGAATTTTTTGGATATTTATCATCTTTATTTTCCTCATTTTTCAAGTGAGTTGCATTTAAAACTTAGAATTTCTATGTAACCAACTCACTCTCAAATGTTCCTGTTTTTGGAACAATTTGCATAATTCATTTAAAGCGAAATGACTCATTTAAAGTGTATGCTAATTCATTTTTAATCAAAAGCCATAATTATATGTATGTTTTTAAATTTATTAGATAGGTAGACATTTTGATATATATGCAAAAGAAGGAAATTTGAGTCTGTTATAAACATGTTACTACCAATTTCTAAAGGGGCCGTTCAAAAAGTATATACATCGCTAAGGGGGAGGGGGAGAGGATTTGCTATTGTACGTACATTATAAGCATACACCAAATTTAAATTTGACTTTTTCCTACATATGTATTATACATAATAAATACTTAATTTTATTTAAAACATAATTATTTAAATTTTTATGAAAAAGGGGAATTGACTAATAAAATGTACATATTCTGGGGGGAGGGGAGTAAGACGTAATGTATGAAGGGGGAGGGGGTTAAAATTTCTCCATTTTTGTGTAAGTAGTAACTTCTTGAACAGCCCCAAACCACTTTTACTGTAACATGTATGAAATAACATTAGTTAAATAACAGTTGAGACAGTACCACTGTAAATGTTCACTACAACAAAGTGTTCACTATATAGCAGATTATAGAGGTGTATTTATAAATGTAATATTTACAAACATAAACTAGTATATTTAATTCTATTTGAAAAGTATGTATTTACATTTAGATCTTTTCAATGAAATTACAAGATAAATTTTTTTCTTGATATTGTAAAATCCTGATTGTCACAATCATTCTATTATGGACCAAATTTGCATTTATCATAAGGGACCATCTAATATTTATTTGTGATATAAAATTTTTCTTTTTTACTTCAGAACAAGTTTTATTTAATATAGTTTCATCTATTATTATGGAAAAGGTTTTAATTGTTATTTTACTGCTAAAATTACTGCCACTAGTTTTAGTTTGAACATTTTACACATTAAAAATGGCTTAGATAATGTGACTTTAGGAGAAGGTTTTTTTTTCTCCATATTTAAGCTAATTCACTGTTAAAAATATTGCCACTAGTTATAATTAATTTTTACATTATATTTGTTAAAAATTGCAAATCAAAAAATATAAATGCTTTTTTATTGTTTAAAAAACTTTTTAAGAAATGTCATTATTTTGAAAAAGTACTATATCTCTAGGGAATCATACTGCGGTACATTTCCTGCAATTTGTAGTTTGACCCTCTAAACTTTTTTTATAGCCCGCTTATTCATCCTCTTTGTTAACTTTTATTTATCCTTTACATATAAATTTATTTGATTTAATACAGTGATGCGTTTTGTATGTTGTTTTTAAATTTTTAACAGACTTAGTTAACTGCCAAAAAATAAATTTTTATGAGTGTTCTGTTGTTTCTCACCATTCATTGAGGAAATAATGTAAGAAATTAAATATTTCAAAAGCGAATTTCTTAAGAAGTTGAAAACGTACCATTTTCTGTACTTTTTCTCAATTGAACGCAGTACACTGAGAAAAAGTAAAATCTATTAGTCACTGCCTCGGTGAATAGTTTTTTGATTTTGTATACTGAGGGTTTAGAATGTTCTCGTTTACAGAAAAGAGAAATTTATAATTTTTAAATTATATTATTCTAAAACTTGAAAAAAAAAGTTTTTTTTATCTTAAAAATTGAACATTATGTTCATTTTTTTTTTCATTTTGGTTGTGTATTAATATTGATGAACTGTATATTTATATTGCCAAAGATTATTTTTGTATATATGATTTATGTATTAATTTGTAAATTTATTTATCTGGTATAGCCATAATAAAATTTGGAATAAAATGTATTTTTGTTTGTTTTTAACCTATGGGTAGATATATTTGAGTTCTACATTTCAAACACTGCATGTAATATCTTTATAATACACTCCCAGATTGTTTTCATTAAAAGCAGGGTTGGCATTTTGTGCGGAAAAACCTGTTTCTTCCTGTAGGGAGGGGGGAAGGAAATTAAAATAACCAATAAATTTGTTTAGAGATACATTAAGAATAGTTTTAATTTAAACAAATAAAATGTTGTACAAGGAAGTTATAAGTTTCACACATTTTAAAGATCTATATGACCTATTATGTAATAATTTTATTCTTTATTCCAATTTTGCCAGATTATTTTTCTAAATAAGTATGCTCACTTATATTTAGATAAATTTTTAATGAAAGTTATTTTTAATATATATTATTTTCTGTTTTGAAAAAAATAATATAGTTAATAATTGTTTATAGAGTTATTTGTATTTTTAGGTTCATTTCAGATTATTAATACAAATATTTTAACAGTAAAAAAGAAATTTTTTTAGTCAAATTTTAATTAAAATTGGTTTGTTTAAGTTGATAAATAAATTTCTTAGTAATTTAAAACTTCAATGTTATTTTTATGTCATATAGGAATAAAAATTTTTTTAAAAAAGAAAAAATTGTACTTAACTAAAATATAAATCATGATATAGGATAAATTTATAATAAACCTATGTTTATTGTATTCCTTGTAAATCCGAAGCTAATTACTGCAGATCTCAAAATGCAGAAAAATAACATTTCTAAATTATAGTCTAATGACAAGTAGTTTCCTGCTAATGAAAATGATAAAGTACAATTACTTGGCTCATTTTAGTTGTGAAGAGTTAGTTAAGAATGAATAATTCATTATTAATGATTTTCCGTTTTTAAACTATTATGATAATCATCAGCTAACTGTTATAATTCACTTACTTGTATTAAAGAAAAATGGGAGCTAGATTTCTTTTTCGATTATTTCACACTTTAATTGTATTTTATTTCCAAGAGGAAGTTTTTACTTTTTTTTAAAATTTGATTTCTTAAAAGGTATCATTAAGAAAGTGTTCTAAAAACTCAAATTTTTTTAGTGACCTTTTTTCTTTTTTTTGCTGTTTGGCAATTGAGTTTGTTGTTTGGTACGCATTTAGAATGTTGATTGAAGAAGACATTTCATTTATCCTTTGATATTTCCAGTATACTCTTTCCTTTGCTATTTTTAGTAAACTATTTTACATAATATTAAATATTCAGTTGTTATGATGCTTATATTTAAATGATATATAAATGAGAAAGAAGAAAACATCCTGTTTGGGAAATGTTATATGAAATAAAAATTCTTAAAGCAAAATGCAAACTTTGCAACCAGATACAAAATTCTAAGGCATCATATTACATTCACACAACAAAAACTGTTAAAGCAATGGGTCAATAACTAGCAGTGAGATTATTTTAATAGAAAGTAAAGGTATAAATCAGATAAAATGGGTGATGTTATATTTAATGGAGTTGAAGAAAATTCAAGTTTACCAAAGACGAAAATTGCATTCAACTATGAATGATTTCAGTGTTAAAACAGACTTAGCAGAAAAAGATAAATAGGATCTTTGTAGTGGAAAAGAAATATTTTCAAGATTTTGTTTCAAATCTTAGGTCAAGATACAGGGCCGATCCATGGAGCTGTGCAAATCGTTCTTCACACAAAGGTGCAACTTAAAGGGAGGTGCCATTTTAATGAAAAAACAAGGGTCTAGATTGTTGCGTCCTGACCCAAACAAAAAAGAAACGATGTAGAAAATTCGTAATCGTATTTTTCAATGTTTTTCATTGCATTGTAGATAAAGATGAAAACACAACCTTTTAAAAAAAGTATAAGCAATTTTTTAAAAGAAAGCTCATTGTATTCCACTGCACCCAAATGAAATCATATACATAATAACTTGTTATGTAAAAAAATAATTTTATTAAAACATTCATGGGCAAATATTGGCAATTATTAAGAGAAATTCAAATTTGTTTTTAAATTGATTTCATACAATTTTTACACATACACGATTATATTTTTTTTAAATATATCACAATGTAAAGGCATTTCATTTAAAAAAATTTCATATTAAAAAAATATTGCTAGTTATTGTTTTTGAAAATTAAAATCTTGATATTTTCGTAGAAACTATGCTTTTCAACAGTTCATAAATTCTCATTGAAAAAATACATCTTATTGTAGTATGCTATGTAATGTTAGTAATACTGTAATAAAGATGTGCTTTTTTTAACTCGCTAAGACCATGTTTATAAGGAAAAAATATAAAATTAAGTAAATGTTATGAAATTATTTTGTTATTATCAAATTGAAATTTGATTTTTTTGATCAAATTGTGAAAAATTCATAAAATACTGCTAAAATATTTAAGTCAAAAGGAAGCTGAACAGAAATCACAGTGATATGTTATATAACAAAAATTTAAAATGTGTTGGTAAGAGGCATGGATTAATAAGAGACATGTGGATTAATTATAAATAAAAAGAGTACATAAAATAAATTTTTTCATATTGATTAGTCATATTATTGTTCTATTGGCTTTGGCTAGCAATTATTTGCCAATCGCTCAATATAATCAAAAATTTACGTTGATCTTCGTTCTTGAACACATAGTGTATTAGACTGATTACAATTGAGATAAAAATATTATAAAATATGGCTCCATCTTAAGTTGTATCCATGATTTTTTTTCAATGTCAGTTTTCAGTATGTTTTTATTTAAATAACAATCATATTACTTAAAAAATTTAGACTGTTAACTGTTAATCTTCTATCAATCAATCAATGAAAAAAAAATTTAAAAATATTATTTCATCTCTATTTTTGCTTAGTTCTACACAGAAATTGCCCTCCTCTAAAAATATATTTAATGAGAAATAATGAAATACAAAAATATAATAAATAAATAAAATGAAAAGATGAGAATTTAAGTCTCAATGTCCGATATTTACATTGTAATTCATGTGTAAATTTTGCTGATACAGGCCTCATCATCATAAAATAAAGATTAAACTTATGTAGAAAATTTATCGATATATATATCTTATCTTTGTGAAAGAAACACAATCTTAATTATATTTTAGTCAAAAATTATTTCTGAAATGCTGGCAAAAATACAGTAATTATTCTCTGGATGTCCCATTACAAATATTCCCACTCCCTTTACGTTCAATAAATAAAGGACTACATGATTTCCTGAGATTCATCTTGGGCGAAATATACTATTGTCAATTATTTAATATTTCTTTGATGGAATGTAAGGAATAAATGTTTTCCAGACCTTTCCTCAGTTGTGTTTCATCGTCATTAGACAGAAAGAAATCCCAACTGTTGTAATCATCCAATCCGCATTCAGATTCACAATCATCAACTCCTAAAATTCAAAATGTATATTGTGTTCTGAAAATCCTAATAAAAAGTGATAAAATACAATAAAAGTGTAAAAGCTATAAGAAAATGCTGGTAAGAAGGGACAGTGCATTACAAAAATTGTATGAGTGCCGTCCTTCTTATCTATCCCTTAAATACAAGTACTGCTTAAATTCAAGAGGGCTAACAAGAATTATTAAATTACAAATATATAGAATATAATCTATAATTCTTGTTTAGTGTAGTTAGAAAAAAGCAGTAATTAACCGGCAAAAAGTTCTAGCTATCTATATCAATAAACTCAAATTTATCTTGGAACCTGAATTTTCACATAAAGAAGCTGACCCAATACATATTCCATGTTTTGTGGTATCTCGGGGGGATAAAGCGCTCGCCTTCCATAACAGTGACCTGGGCTTTAACTCCAACAATGGCTGATTTCTACAGATTTCGAACCCTGCTCACACTAGCCAAAGTGCTGACGTAAAATGTCCTCAGTGGTAGGCTGTTCATGGGATAGAGTCCCCTTGCTGTCAGGCTAACTGTGGGAGGTTTTCCTCTTCATATAACCCGAATTTGGTTTAATTCCATTAAAAAATCCCTTACGAATGTAAATTTATCCTACTACTTGTTAGAGGAGTTTACTCATGTTCTAGATTAAGTTCAAAATTATAAGACTACTGAGTTGAACATTAATAGTCGTAAACCCAAAAATTGGGTCAGGTGTTCGGGGACGGTTATAAAATAAAATGCATATTCCATAACAGAAGTGGAAAATTACTGAGTAAATAAATCGTTAAAAAATAACACAGCAAATGAAATGTAAATTACATATGAAAAGATGAGAGGATGAAGTTTCTGACATTTTCTGAGTGTCTAAAATCAGAGTACGAAGAAAACATCCAGCTGGTATCCCAGCTATTTCTATATAGATTTATTAGAAAGCAGGGCTAATAATTCTTTGCCTCATTTTATTTACCACTACCTAATTTAAAATTAAAATAATGCAAGCATACTCAAAGCTAGCATGGATTACTTCTATTGAAATTAAGGCAAAAAACAATTGTTACATCAAACATACACATTTTAATGTGCCCAGTTTATATTATTTTCCAATGTTAATAAATTCCCTCAAAAATCATCCACTTAAAAAAATTCAGTGGTGCTACAGCTCATTAAGGGTCAAGACCTACTGTGCCCATCCAAGTTTTCTTGACCTTGGCCCGGGAACATAAAAACAGATGATCCAATTGGGTGGCCAGCCAAAAGTGGAACCCCGATTTTTTACTACCCAAGCATGCTTGTTACTCGTTTTATTCACCCACTGATGAGAAACTGAGTCATCTTTGCCTGGTCCGAGAATAGAACCTGTGGCATGAGGCAAGAAGTACAACCACTCAGCCACCAGGCCTCCTCCATCCCCTAACCTCTTCATATATTTATTAGAAACTGAAATAAAATAAGTTAACAAAGATTAACCTCACCCTCAGAAAATTTCCATCCTCGTTGCTGCCGCACAAAATCAGAAGCAGCTATTCTGATTGTGTAAGTAACAGTTGCAAAATTGTTCAAGAAAAATTTTATATCAGACTTCCTTCTAGCATCACTAACAATCCAGATTTTCTTAGAATTTGCACCAGACTGAATAATTGCATGCCTGCAAAAATATCCTGGATCTTTAATTCGATAATCTTCTCCCCATTTAATCATCTTTTGTCGGAATATTTCTTTATACTCAGATGCATCGAGGAGTTTTTGATAATCCAAGTTATTTTCCTAGATAGAGAAAAATTTGTTGAAGTAGGTAAAGAATAAAGAGTATTAAAAAAAATGGGATTCAAAACGTACTTATCAGTTAGTTGAGTACCAGATAAAACATCCTAGTGTCAAAGAATGTTAAGAAGACATAATAAACATCCTAGTGTTTTAAGAATGTTAAGAAGATTAGCTCCATAATTGTAGCAACCTTTAAAAACAGTTTATTTTTTTAAAAAAGTTTACTTTTAGACCTGACTATTAAACAATGTTTAAGAATGTTTATCATTTGATGTCCTTAATTCTTATGTGCATCATTAGAAAATAATAAGTATATAAATTCTCCAGGATTAAACTTAAAAAACGAGCGGATGCATTAATGATGAAGCTTAACAATATGAAGTGTTTAAACTGTATTTAATTTTAGCTCAATTTATTATCAGATATACGAACAGTAAAAAAAGATGAATATATATTATACAAAGAAAACACATTACATAAATAAAATTAAAATTAGAAAAAAATTTTAATTTATAATCATGTATATGAATATAAAAATACTTACCAATGCATATCTTTCTTTTAATGGGCCTGATAATCGAATTATTGCACAATTTTCACAGCCAAATCTAGGAAAATTAATTAATATTATCAATAAAAAGATAAAGAAATTTCTCATATATCGATATAAATAAAATATTTTTAAAAAAAAAACATAAGTAAATAAAAATAAATAAATGTATGCATACCTTCTTAGGATAAATATTAGTTTGAATTTAAATGTTAAATAAATTTTTCAAGATAAATTATAAAATGTTTTCATTATTGCAGTGCATAATCTTTAAATGTTACACAAAACTGATATTTGAGATGTATTCATAAAATGATATCTGCAAGAAGCATTATTCCTTATTTTTGTCAACAGTAGTTTAAGTTCAAAAGATATTCAAATCTACTATTTCCTTTATAACTATGCATTATAGTGAACTACAGATAAGATAGAAAGAAAATAAGTAAACTTACAGTATTATGATATTTAGGTATTTTAAAAATGTACATAAGTTTGTTTACTAAAAAAGTTCTTAAATGAACTTCTTTTATAAAAATACCAGCAAGCAGAGCCCAAGAATATTAATAAAGCTAAGCAACATGATTTAACCACACATATTAGCACAAAGAGGAACATACTATAGTTTTTGATTCTATAAACAACACTCTTTTTCAGTGTCAAAACCCAAAATAACAGAAGAAAACATATTCGTGAATATATAGTGTTTTCTTATGTCATGCTTCCATAGAGTTTTTGTTTATAGTATCGATTTATATAGATTATTTAGCTTCACTCATATTTATTATTAAGTGTACCTTATCTTTCTTTGATCACAAGTAAAATAATAAATATTAAACGTTGACAAAAAAGTTAAAAAAAAATAAAAAATTAATAAAAAAATTACTAGCATTTTAAGTCTGTATTCAATCATGGGAACGGCATATTTCCATTATGAAAATGCGCCATTTTACAGTCAATTACAAGTAGCCAAATGACAAAATTTGACCAGTTGCAAATAGCAGTATATAAATTATTAAAAAATATGGGTATTTGATCAATTACACTTCAAATAATGCAAAAATGTGGCAGCCTTTTGAGGGTACATGTAAAAGTTTGAGAAAGATGATTAGACATTTCACTTTCAGAAAAATATATATGTTTGATACGAATGTATGAAAAAGTCACAGCAGAAAAAAACTTGGGGACATCGTGATCTGTCACAATAACTACAATCACCAAGGGGCAAAATAAATTTTAAACTTGCAAATTTTTTTTGAAAAAAAAACAAACAAAACATGTACATGCTTGCCCAGGGGTGGCTAAGAATTATATCTTTCGAGTTGGTTCCATTCTGTGATTTTTGCTTAAATATTTTTTTTAATATCTCGCTGGCCACAGACTTGGCGATTATTCAACTACTGATCACGCAAATCTCCCCAAAAACTCATATAATTGTACCTTCAACCAATATAAATTTCAGCATTAAAAAAATTTTCCGTAATTGTTTTAAAAATTTAAATATGATCTGTATTATAATAAATTAATTGTAAAATAATTAAATACATTTTAACCTTTTTCAAGCTATATAGTTCTGTAGTATGATTTAAAACGTTCGCCTCAAACTTGATAGTAAAATTACTATCAAGTTAGAGGTAAATAATTATAAGATTGAGTTAAAAGTAACTTATAGTTACTACTATAAGTTACTTTTTACTTTTAATTCAACCATATAAATATTGATTCTCAGCCGTATTTCTATTTCTAGAACTAAATTGTCTTATATATTTATACTGCTAATCATTTATCAAATGCATTGAATTTTTTGCTAAAATACATGAATTAAGTTTCATTCCAAAAGGAAGTTTACAAAAAAAAAAATTATGAAGTACATACATAGTCATTTTAATAACCGGAATTTAATAAAAAAATTTACATAAGTTATGTAATAAATTGCGTACCTCCTTAACATTAAATTAGCGGCATAATCTTTCCCACTCTTTCGTTTGCCACTTATTACTAAAACTGCAATTGGTTTTCCATATTCTAAATCCTTAGTGTCCATAATAATAAAGTAATTACAAAAAATTCTCAGAATCTCATTAAAATTATGTCAAGTTTAGGCAAACTAACGAGTATGATTGCATTAATTTCATTGACAAACGAAAACCAGAAGAAAACAAATAAATACACGTAAAAATTTTTTAGTTTTGCTTTAAATGATTGATTGATTAAACAGACAGACAAGTCAATGGAGCCATTCACTTCAGTTTAAAACATAAGAAAATGAAGAATTTATTTTTACTAATTCAAACATAAAATTAGCGTAACCTAAATTCTTAATGACTCAAAACAAAGAAAAAATTATTTTTCTTTCTAAAGAAAATTTTAACTTCACTCAACTCACTTCGTAAATAAAACACCAATAAAAAACGGAGTTAGAATCATGTTTGATGAATTCCACCAATCAAACGGGAGAAAATGAACGTTTCAAAATTGATGAAATGAATATGGCCAAATAAATGTTTAATTAAAGTTTAATTCTCTCACTAGATGGCCCTAGCAGCTGTTTCCAAGAAATGTGCGAAGAGAAAAATATCCAAAAAAAAGTGAAAGGATTTCGTAAGTGTATGAAAGAATCACTTCTCAGTTGAAAAACTTATTTTTTGACAATGACAAGATTATTTTTCCTTTATTTTACACAAAAAGGATTTTAAAACGATAATCAATAGGAAAAAATTGAAATTGACACAAGTTTACCGGATTTTTACTCACAATTATCGTTGCCTAGCAACTTTAGGTAAGTATCATGTTGTCTGCTTGTTTACAAAAATAAATGAAAACATTGATTATTAGTGACAGTAGAACTATTCACATAATAATTTAATTTAAATTTAGAGTGATCATAGTTAATTAAAAATTGTAAGAATACATTCAGGTTAAGTTTCTTATCTTTTTTTCTTCATTTTATATATTTTTAATCCATTTAAAAAAGAAAGAAAAAAAAAAATAACTAAAATCACAATACTCTTATATGAAACAGTATAAAATTAAGAAGGAAAACATTATTTATTTAGTATTTTGAGGTGGAAATTTATTACTTCAGAATTTAGTTGATTAATTTAATTTTTCAAATATTCGTTTAATCTACTTTTTAGATATTTTATGGCATTATTATTATTGCTTTTTTTCATATTTTATTTATTATTCTTGCTTTTTTTATATTTTATTTATTATTATTTGTTTTTGCTAATAGAAACTTAAGTAATTAATAAAAGAAAGATTTTTTGTCAAAAATATGAGGCTTTTTAGAATTTAAATGCCAAAAACATACACAGTTTTTAGCAATATTTTCAAATTGTTTAACAATATTTCAATTTACTTGTTTTTTTCTTTAAATATTTTATAATATTATTATTTTCTCAATAAAAAGGAAATTAGTCAAATTATGCAATTCGTAAAAATATTTAATATTCGAGAAATATAAGGCTTTTTAAAATTTAAAAGCCAAGTGTTTTCAATTTCAAACAATAATTTCAGACTGATGTTCAAGTTATTCATAATATTTCCAGTTGCGATAAGTTATAATTTCAATATAAAACAAATAAAGATAATAATTAAAACAATTAATTTCTTATTATTTTGTGATAGAAAATTATTTGATTGATTTATAATTTAATTTCTAAATTTATTATTTAAACTCTTAATTTTATTTAATACTCAATATCTATCGTTATATATATTTCTTTCATCAAATATGGCTGAAGGGTTCTTTTACCTTTTCATTACGTTTTAATTTAACATTAGTGTATAGTTAAAATTCAAACTAGCAACGGAAGAAATTATTAATTTATTTAAAATTTCTCAAATACTGGTAGTTTATAAAATTAAATATTCGAATTATTTATCATTAAGTAGTAAAAACAATTCCACCTTGTACGGTAATTGAGGAAAAATTCCGTAATCGCAACATTTATGTTTCAATGCAAAAATCTTTTCTTTTTTTGAAAATAATTTTATCCTTTATTACAAATTAAATTCAATGATATATGTTCTTAAATGTTTTGAAAATGTGTGACAAGTAAAGCAAGGTTGATAAATGGTGACCAAAATGACTAATAACATCACCCAAGGAAATTAATCATGCAAATACATACCTGCCAACTCTTGCCTTCTTTACTCTTTTTTTTTTTTTTTTTTTTTTTTTTTTTTTTTTTTTTTTTTTTTTTTTNTTTTTTTTTTTGCTGAGTGTTAAAAACGATTCCATAGCTGCCACCTTGTATAATTGTTGAAGAAAAACTTAAAAACGACGTCAGTTAGCAAGTAAAAAATTTCCAAAAAAATTATATAACTACAATTTTTTTAACTACCAGTTTTTTCTACATAAGAAAGTTATATTTATTATTTTCTTTCAAGTTTTAATAAATTTATTATTATAAAAAATAAAAATACATGACAACACACAGCTAATACCGAGTTCGTAAAACCGTGAAGAAATAATCTTTTTAGCAGTATTTCAAATAGATTTTGAGTCAATAATTAAAAAAATCAACAACGTGTAGATGAGATCTATTTATTTGCTAATTATGTTTATAGATGTTTTAAAGTTTTGTTTTTAGAATATTCTAGTTTTGTTTTTAGAATATTCTATCAAGCTTTATTCTACCACTTTGTAATATCTTTTACAACGACCGTACAAGTTGGCAGGTGTGTTGTAGAAAACATTCTCCTCTTGCTATGGTTATTTTAAGGAAATGCAGGTACGAGATTTTCAAGAGAACTCTGTTTATACTAATATCATGGTTCAGAACTTAAACGGGGATGAAATGTGTGTCTAAAAATTTAAAAAGTGAAGACAAAAAAAAAACAAGAATTGATCAAATTAAATTAATAATACAGTGATGATAGCATGTCAAAAAATGTGGAAAATAGCTATCAATAAAAGCGAAAATTGCTAAAAAGATATTAAAATGAGCAACACTTGAAATAAATAATCCCACAAAGCAGAAGTGGTAAGATATTACTTGAGTCAAAAATATACCGATTGGAAATAACAATCGATATATTTCAAGCGCTCAAAAATAGGCGCAGGTCTTATAGTCTTGATATATCAAATATAAAAACAAAATCATGTGTATGAAAACAAGTCATATATGAAAACAAAAATTTTTTTTTAGAAATAAATTCTGCCCTTACCTCAAGGTTGCCACGGGCGACTGAAAATGCAAAAAGTGCTGACTAATAAAATTCATAATTTTATAAAAAGAATTTAAAATTCGTTACTTTTGATAGCATTTTTTTCTTCTTCAGTTTACTATTGAAAGAGAATGCAGCAATTCTTTTTATGTCCGTAATATGATATGTACGTCTTGGTAGTAGATACGATTGAACAATTTAAGAGAAAATAAATAAATAAAAGGGAATTGAGATTCGACCACTATTTACAGTAACAGTCGCATCCTGTTACCTGTACACTACCCTTGGCATTCCACGTACTTTAAAATGCTGTTTGTCTTTAATGTAAGCATTATACCACAAAATGGTATTTTTTATACAGTTTTAAAAATTCATACGATGATTGCTTTATTGTGTGCTTAATTTAGGCTTATAAACCTTTAACAAGAAGGAGGACAGATAGAACAATTTAGAGGAAGACATCACGAAGAATAACATCTAAAGTATCGGCGGGATTCGAACCCGTCACCTCCACGCTTCGTGCTGCGTTTGGCGGGCGATAACGATTTATACAGGGAGGACCCTTCACCGGATTATGTGGTTACTAATCAAAATGCAAAAAATATTAATTTTAGAGTGGTGACTTTTAATGTCGCCTCAGACAGCTGAGAGCCTCCTCGTGATTTCTTATAGATAGTCTGATCAGACCACTATGAAGCTGTGACAGTTTGTGAAACTGCTTTTTAATACACAATCTAGTAAAAAAGAGAAAGTGGTAGCAAATATATGTCCAAAAATTTTTTAAATTTATGAATATGAATGAATTGTCCTTATTTACCTGCCAACCAAACCACCAATATAACTTTCCTATGTATATTTCATGGTATTCATCTATGTATATTTCCTTCGGGATATTTCATGACGAATGGGATAAGTGCCATTTAGGCCTCAGATGCCCAATTCTAAAACAACGAACGAACGATTCCTGTCAACCACTATAGTTTAAATTCTCAAATATATATATACTAAATTTCTCCCATTTATCAGGGATGCCAACTATTCCGCTTCCTGCGAATTTTTTAATAACTTGGTAGCGAATTGATAGTAGAACCTGAAAAGTATGGATTATTACTCCAACTTTTTAAAATAGTCACCACAAGATCACTGCAATGAAGTAGCATTTGATATGCTACTTTGAATATTCGATATATAGTGGTAGAAAAATTATTTAAAAAGTACAAATACAAAACTAAAAAATTTTAAATTTCGCCACCACTAGAAAAATATTATTTTCAAAGCGGAGCAAGTTGACATCTCTGAATTACTGTTAGAATAGAATTTGGGTTCAAGCGCACAACTGGTTGCCTTTTTAAATATTCCTGTGTCATTCAACGTGTTAAGGACTCAACGTGTTAAGTTAAGATAAAAAAAATAATATTAGTTTTAATTGTTTAAAAAAAAAATAGAATTTTTATAATGATGTATGATAAAATAGTTAAGTCAATAACGTGACGACAATTTTGGATTTTACTTAATATAAACTATTTTATTACTGCCCATGTTGGAAATGCAAACTAGTTGATTAATGGAAAGTTTAGAGCCGAGAAAATTATGATAATTAAATACGTGATATAGATGATGCAAGAGTTGTTAAAATATATTCTAGAAGTTTAATTGCTCGTTAATTAAATCGATTCGGGGAATAGGTCTTAATCATATTCGAGTAACGGTGATAATATTAAATAATCGTCAATTGTTTTGAAAGTAAATCCTAAAAATACTTTTAATAAATGTTGTTCTGAGTTTAAGATTAATATTACCTGAAAATTTAAATAATATTACAAAAAATTGCATTGCTGGCTTACTTTGAAATGATCTGTTTGAAATTGAAAAAAATAAATAAAAAAGTTTTAACATAAACGTTTGAAATAGGGGGTCTTCCCCCTGTACCCCGCGCTTGCCAACCCCTGTAACTAAAGCTGCGTCACTCACTCATTGGATACTTGTGTCATAGCTTTGTTTGTATGTTGATGCTCTTTTTAAAATGAAGTTCAAAAGGGAAAA